AGAAATCTGATGCATGCTTTTAAAATTATTTTTGAAGATATTTCCGAATTGCTGATCTTGCCACCCCTTATTTGTTAACTGACCCGGGCGCTAGAGAGCTAATTTCTTATCTAGGCCTAACCGCCTTATCGATTTTTACTTAACTTGGTAGATATGTAGAACAGGACGCCTCAAGGTGACAGGAGAAATTTAACTCTAATTGGCAACTGGGTGGCACTATAATAACAGAAAAATGCTTAAAAATGGCTAAAATGTGACCGATCGCTGTGGCTCCCCTTGTGGCCGAATTTTTTTTTTTTTTTTTTTTTTTTTTCTAATTTTTGGTATGACTAAGTGATGGAATGGTATGCTGTACATAATCACAGAAACTGTCAGTGTGTCATTCTGTCAGTCAGTCATTGTCTGTCTCACGTTTTTCTACTCACTGACGTGGTCAGTCTATGTGAAACTGCACATAGGCATTGAGGATTGGCATAGGTAGAAGGTGACAAAGCTACCAGTGGGTATGGACTAGTTTTGATTAATAATTGAATAATAACCATAACCAAAATTAACAGTAAAGCCTGAAGGATTTCTGAGTTCTTGACGCAGCAGAGGTTGACTATTCATTCACCCTTGTGCAACATTAAACAGACAGCAGGTATGATTCCAAAATTACATTTATTCTTAAAGTAGCAAAGCAAATATGTGTATGTGTGTGTGTGTGTGTGTGTGTGTGTGTGCGACTGTGTGAATGAGTGAGAGAGTGTGTGAGTGAGTGAGAGAGTGAGAGACGGGTGTGGTGATCAAAGGGCCATTTGGCCTACAAAACAAAATGGCTGACAACAGAGAACTACAAGATGTCCGAATCAAAGAGGGCTTCAGATCGGGACAGGTCTGTCTTACTGTGTGGTCAGGACAAAGACAAAGACAAAGGAAAAGAAGTGGGAACTTTGACATGGCTCTTTGGGTGTAGCTCTGTTGAAAGCCTAGTTGTTAATGAGTCTGTATGAATCTGATATGTGTTCAGTTCAGTTCAATTCAGTTCAATTCAAAGAACTTTACTTGTCCCCAGGGGGCAATTTAAGGCACATAGAGCAGCAGCATTACAAAAAGACAAAGGTTAGATACAAAAACAAAGTGATAGCTGACAGAATAATATACACAAGACACAGGTATGTACAAATCTACAAAATATAAAATATGTACAGTGTAAGAATGACAAGTGTCTCTTAAAAAAGTGTCTCTTAAAAAATGTTATCTGTGGTGTGTGTATGTCTATATATACATTCAGATTTGCAGTTTTTATATATTCACCAATGACAGTGAATAGTTATGTGAACAGGACTGTATAATTAGAATAAGAAATGAATAACAGAGTGATTATAGTGCAAGAGAACAATGATTACAGCTGGAAATGAATATATAAATAAATATCTAAACAGGGCTAAATGAGGTGGATCAATACTGAATGAACAGAAAGGACGAATGGTTGTAGTGTGATAAGCACCAAAAAAGTAAATGCACTGGAGATAAATCGATAAATAAATAAATAAATAAATAAACAGAGCTGACTGGGATGGACAGAGTAAAAAGTGTAGTAGTGCAAAAGGATGGAGGATAGAAGTTACAGCAGTGAATAAATATCAGACAGAGCTAAATGAAGTGGACTAATACTGGACCAATGGTTGGTAGTGCAAAAAAGACAAGTGTACCACTGGGAATAAATTTGTCAACAGAGCTATTTGTGAGTGAGCCAGTACTGAGTCAGACATAAGGTGCAGTCAAGTAAATAATTATCATGGAGCAAGAAAAGATAGTTACATGAAAATAATGACAACACAGATTATAAGGTGCGTCTGAAAGCGAGGTAGTTATGTTGTAAACAGTTTGGGGGGGGGGAGGGGGGGCAGAGTGCAGAACAGAGTTCACAGCTTTGCCAGTCTGTGTGTGTGGTTTTTTGGGGCGGTGGGTTCGGAGGAGTTGAGGAGGTGAACAGCCTTGGGAACAAAGGTTGCTTTTCTCCTCTGTGTCCTGCAGCCGGGGCAGCGAAGTCGCCGCCCTGAGGGGAGCCATTCAAATGTGGGGTGTAGTGCATGTGAGGGGTCTTGTATAATCCTGTTGGCTAACCTGAGTGTTTGCTGCTCAAAGATGGAGGAAAGAGTTCTTGTTGGAAGTCCAATGATCTTAGAGCAGACTCTGGCCGTGCTCTCCAGGCGGTTTCTGTTCTGGAGGCTGATGGAGTGGAACCAGCAAGTTATGGAGAATGTGGTGATGCTTTCAATGAAGGAGTAATAAAAAGTTAGAAGGATGTTTTTGCTGAGATACTGCCCTGGTGACATTTCCTGATAATCTCCTCTGTGTTGGAGGAGAATTTCAGCAGGCTGTTGAAGTTGGTACCCAGGTATTTCTACTCCTACACCAGTTCCACCGGCTTCCCGTGGATTGAGATGATGGATGCTGCAGCCAGCTCTCTCTGCCTGTTGGAGAAAGTCACCACCATCTCTTTGGTCTTACTCACGTTCAGCTCAAGGCATAAGCTGTCGCACCATTCCACAAACTCCTTGAGAGCTGATCCATGATGCTGTGAGGGGCCTGAGAGCTGGGACAGGAGGACTGTGTCGTCAGCATACTTCACCAGGTGACACTGAGGCTGTGTGGATCTGCAGTCATCGGTGTAGAGGATGAAGAGCAGAAGTGAGAGCACACAGCCCTGAGGGGAGCCCGTCGAGGTGTGTTGGAGGTCGGAGAAGGTGTTGTTGACCCGGACTCTCTGTGACCTGTCGGTTAGAAAGTCCAGTATCCACAGGGTGAGCTGGTCATCCATATGGAAGTAGGAGGTGAGTTTGTTGGCCAGGATGTGAGGCTGCAGTGTGTTGAATGCAGAGGAGAAGTCTGCAAACAGGAGTCTGGCTGATGTGTGGGGCTGCTCCAGATGTTTGTTTACGGTGTTGATGATGAATGCTTTTGCATCGTCCACACCTCTGCCTGTGCGGTAAGCATACTGTAGTGGGTCCATCAGGGTGTCGGTTATTGTGAGGATGTGTTGTTTTACGACCCTCTCCATGGCCTTCATCACCAGGGATGAGGGCCACAGGCCTGAGGTCGTTCAGAGTGTTGATGGGGCTTTTCTTTGGGATGGGGATGACTGTGGAGTGCGCATAAAGTTTGGATTAGTGCAGAGATTGTTTAGTTGTGTGCAAGAATCTGTTTGTGAACAGCATTAGCAAGGTAAACACTGAACACTAAACTGAACTGAACTGCAGTCACAACAATTACTCAGTATACAGCATTAAATCACATACACCAGGATAAACAGTCTTGATTAGGCTGTACAGCTGTGATAAACAGGGTGACCGCGGGTCCTTAAAAAGTTAAAAAGTCTTAAATAAATTTTTTCAAATTTAAGGCCTTAAAAAGTATTAAATTGTCTTAAATTCAGATCAGACAGGTCTTAAATGTGCTCGCGAAAATTTCTGGTAAGCACGGAATGATCTAAATCTCGCCCCGTCGTTTAGATCACGTGACGCAATGAGTCTGCTGCAGACCCGCAGAAGAAGAAGAGTGTGCTGCATCTTTGCTAGCTAACGTGGCCTTCTTGGTTGCACGAAATGGGAAAATGCCGATTTAATGACAAGTGGCTTGAAAACACAGACTACTCGTCGTGGTTAAGGCCCGTTCATGGAAATGTTTATGAAGCCAACTGCATTATGTGCCGAAGGAATTTCAAACTTGGGACAATGGGAATCAAAGCGGTGGATTCGCATTTGCAGAGCGGGAAGCACAAGGACTATACCAGAGCCCGCCAGCAGACTCCGATTGCCCGTTTCTGCTCCACTCTACCCACCGCCAGCAAGGATGTTACGACCAAGGATGTTACGGTGGGAAATCCACAGCCAACATCGTCATCATCTGACATTCACACAGCTTGTGGCTCTACGCCAACACTTAGAGCAGAAGTGATCTGGGTGCTGAGGACGGTGACTAGCCATCATTCGTACAGATCAAATGAGGGAATAGAAGATGTGTTCAAGGCCATGTTTCCAGACTCTGTGCTTGTACAGACATTTACATGTGGACGAGACAAAACGAGGTACGTGGCCAAATTTGGATTGGCCCCGCATATTAAAAAACAACTCATAGCCGAAGTCAACACGGGCCCATTTGTGATCATGTTTGACGAGACACTGAACCAAACAATAAAAAGCAAACAGTTGGACCTGCATGTGCGTTATTGGCGAAATGACCACGTTCAGTCAAGATACTATGGGTCACAGTTCATGGGCCACGCCACTGCTCAGGACCTGCTTCAACATTTCAAGGTGAGTTATCAGTCTGTTTATTAACTCTTGTATAACTTAGATCAGCGTATCATAGTATATATATAACTATATTATATAGGCAGGTGTGGGATGCACAGTAGGCTAATGTAGGCTAATGATAATTCATCACCTGACAGGGTCTGACAAAAACGGTTAAGAAAATAACCGGCGGGCCAGCAAAATCTGCCCAAACATGCTCAGGCAAGCACCGACTCTGATCTTTTTTTTTTTTTTTTTTTTTTTTTTTTTTTTTTTTTTTTTTTTTTTTTTTTTTTTTTTTTTTTTTTTTTTTTTTTTTTTTTTTTTTTTTTTTTTTTTTTTTTTTTTTTTTTTTTTTTTTTTTTTTTTTTTTTTTTTTTTTTTTTTTTTTTTTTTTTTTTTTTTTTTTTTTTTTTTTTTTTTTTTTTTTTTTTTTTTTTTTTTTTTTTTTTTTTTTTTTTTTTTTTTTTTTTTTTTTTTTTTTTTTTTTTTTTTTTTTTTTTTTTTTTTTTTTTTTTTTTTTTTTTTTTTTTTTTTTTTTTTTTTTTTTTTTTTTTTTTTTTTTTTTTTTTTTTTTTTTTTTTTTTTTTTTTTTTTTTTTTTTTTTTTTTTTTTTTTTTTTTTTTTTTTTTTTTTTTTTTTTTTTTTTTTTTTTTTTTTTTTTTTTTTTTTTTTTTTTTTTTTTTAGTGTTTCATATTGTTATTATTTATGATATTGCGGTAGACAGACACAGCCGGTGCTTCTTTCATTGCTGACGTAATTCACAAGCCGACAGAGACATGCAGGTGCAGTAAACGTTTCCAAGGTAACAGGGCGCTCCACCAACCAGAGATGTCGTTAGGATTGTGGGTAGTGTAGTACTTCCATGGCATCGTGAAAAAAACTCATTTCCCTTAAAACAAGGTTGATTTCGCACAGACTTGTAGCTTCTGCTGGAGCAGATTTTTTTTTTTTTAAATCTCATAGCTCGTGGTCAGTCTACCTTTAATAAATTCCACAGTATGGCTTATAATCACTATTCAGTAATAGAATATCACTGGGATTTCACTTCCAGAACCTCACTGCTTATGTCTATAGGAACTGTAATGTTTTAGCAAGGTACTTTATGGTTACACTGAGTAAAGCTTACACAGGCACTTTTTGCAGCTCAAAGTAGTGGACTATTCGTAATGCAATTATCATATTTTTCAAAGTTAAATTGGAGAGCATATCATGTGAAACAGTGCTTCACTCATCCATTCGCTAATAAGGAAATCACCAATCATACAAGTTGTGAGCAGAATATTGTCAGTGTGAACTGTGTTTTGAGGGTTATAGTGAATGCAGACATTTTTTGCTGGTTGTTTACCTGCCAAAATGTCTAAATAGTGTACAGATTTACCAGCCACAGACAAAAATTACCAGAATTTGGTTGGTAATATCTCCCACACTAAACTGTAACTCTATAGGCTAGCTGCAGTGGTTGTCTAGTTATTTAAATAGCTCATGTTGCTTCATTTGGGAAATAGTATTATTTTTTTCCTTCTGTTTCTTTTCTTTTCTGTCTTTTTTTTTTTTAAAATCTCTCCCAGTCTGATATTAATCTGAAGTAGAATGTAAGAGATGAGATGTCTTGACTGCTGTATCGCTAATGTCTGCATTTTTGTTTTTTAAATTCCCAGGAGTATGTGCAGCAGCTTGACCTGAGAAATATGATTTCAATCTCCATGGACGGACCCAGTGTCAACTGGAAGTTTTTTGACCTGCTCCAGCAAGAACAGGCAGAAGAGTTTGGAGGTGCCAAGCTGACCATGGTTGGGAGCTGTGGGCTGCACACACTGCACAATGCCTTCAAAAGTGGCTTCAGTGTCTGGCAGCTGGAGAAAGTACTCAAGGCATTGCATACAGTGTTCCACAATACTCCTGCTCGAAGAGAGGATTTCTCCACTTTGACCAAGACATCTGTGTTTCCCCTACCATTCTGTGGGCATCGCTGGATAGAAAACCTACCCGTCGTCGAGAGGGCTATTGCAGTATGGCCAATGATCGTGATGTACGTGGATGCAGTGACGAAGAAAGAACTTCCAAACCCTAAAACATCATCCTATGACGCTCTTGTAGAGGCACGGAAGGACTCTCTTATAATGGCCAAGTTGCACTTCTTCATGGCTATCTCCAGGACCTTCACCACCTTTCTAACTACATATCAGACAGATGAGCCTGTGATGCCATTCATCAGCAAAGACCTGGCTGTGCTCATGAAGGTAATGAATAACATGCCCTGGATTTAGTGTATGATATTTCCATTTCAATTCAGTAACTCCCCACTATTGCAGATAGGTATAGCACTGCATGTAACACTTGTTTGTTTGTATTGTTATTTATGTCTTTTATTGTATATGTACATGTGTATGTTCCCAGAGCCTGCTGAAGAGGTTCATCAAGGCAGAGATCCTTAAAGACATCACTACACTGCAGATGGTGAGACTCGACACGACTGACAAGAAAACAAGAGTCCACCTAAAGGATGTGGACATTGGCTTAGGAGCAGAAGCAGTTCTAAAGGTATTGTGGGAAATATTAAACAATGGTTAGGATACAGGAAAGCAAAACTTTCTTTTCTCCTTAAAACATGTAGTCAGTCTTACACCCCCTCCTCCACCCTTATTGTTAGGAACTCCAGAGTAGCCCCAGCAGCAGTGTAGGAGAGCTCAGTGTGTTGGCGTTTAGAAGAGAATGCATGGAGTGTTTGACTAACATTGTCCAGAAAATGCAAGACAAGAGTCCACTGAAGTACAACACTGTGAGGCAGATGGCATGTTTGGACCCAGCAAACATGTTCTCAGACCCCGACTTGTGCCAGGAAAGAATGAAACGACTTGTTCAGAGGTTTCTGCAAGACAACCAGCTGTCAGGAGGTGTGTCTGCTGGTATTTAAGTTTTCAGAAGTCTAGCAATATGTACACTGTCACACTTACCTGAAGCTTGTTCAGTCACAGCACAGCACAGTACAGTAGTGATACGCTTGTCTAGTTAAGTACATTTTTTCATTACATTGATTGATTGTGTTATTTATTTTGTGTTAATCTGTTATATGGCAGGTGACATGATTGTCCAGCAGTTTGGAAACTTCTTGTCTCTGGAGGCAAAAGCTGAATCCTTCTCTTCTTTCCAACCTGTGCGGACAAGACTGGATGTTTTCCTGCATGGACTCCTCCATCAGTCCTACCCTGAGCTCTGGACTTTCTGCAAGAAACTTCTGCTCCTGTCTCATGGTCAAGCGACAGTTGAGAGGGGCTTTTCTGTAAACAAGGAGGTAGAGGCTGATAACATGCAGGAGGACACAGTTGTTGCTCAGAGAATGATATGTGACTATGTTTCTGTCTGTGGTGGGGTTCTCAAAGTTCCTCTGACAAAGGAGCTCCTGGCAGCTGCAGCCTCAGCAAGGTCTCAGTATCGGCTACACCTGGACCAGGAAAAGAGAAAGAAGGAGAGCGACACACGAAGAGAAAAGAGAAAAGTTGCAGAGGAGTACCTTGAGCAGCTCAAAAAAAAGAAGGTGACACTGAGTGAGGTAGCAAACAGCCTAGAAAAAGATGCAGATAAACTGGCAGAGCAAGCTGAGGGTCACTCAGGCACACTCATGGCCCAGCTAATCACCAAGTCCAACATACTCAGAAAGAGATACAAAGACAAAGTCGCAGAACTGAAAGAGGTTGCGAGAGAGCTGGAAGATAAATCAGCAGAACTCAGGCACATGCCTTGATGTCCAGTCAGACATTTTCTCTTTCCCTTACCTTCCCACCTTCCTCTTTTACCTCACCTC